CAAGGCTGGCTCCCTCGCTGCTTGACATGCTGATGGGTGGGTGGGTGAGTGTGGAGGGTGGGGGTGTGGGGGTGATCGGCGCGAGGCCGGCGCGATGGCTCTCTGTGAGCGGACGGGTGGGCTACTGTTGGCTATAATAGGCTATAATAGGCTATAATAGGCTATGTATAATGTGTGACATCATAGGTCACTAGAAAAGCAGGGAAAGGCGCACTATGTATGCAATGAGGGCAGCCCCGGCTCGGGGCCGTTGAGAAAGCAGTGGGCGGGAGGGGGGAGGCCCCGGTGTGGGCGGGCCCCATCGAGGGGGGATGGGGCGCGCAAGCGGCCAGATGGGGCGGGGCGCGGGCGGCAGTGGAGTCCTGCGGCTGGGTGGGATATAGGGCAATGAGCGTTGAGCAGTGTGCGATGAGCAATGAGCAATGAGCAGTGAGCAGCCCCTCCCTAAACAAAGTGAAGCGCAGGACGGGGTCCGGTGGATGGGAGGCAAGGAAACGCGGGGGGTTGCCACGTGCGCTACCGCCGCCGCCGCAGGCAGCACCCCTGCGGCGGCGGCAGCGGCAGCAAGCCGTGGACCCAAACGCCGTGCCGCCGCCGCCGCAGGCAGCACCCCTGCGACGGCGGCGGCAGCAAGCCGTGGACCGAAACGCCGTGCCGCCGAGTCCCGTGGCTGTGACCGTGGGCTTCTGGCAGGAAACTACGGCCGCAACTCGCCATCCCCTGCAAGAGTGGCTTGCTCCCCAGAGGCGAGAGAGGCCAGTATGCTACAGCTCGAACTGAAGGCAGGATTTGCCTCATACCAGCTACAGAAACAACGTGCCGGAAGGAGGCAAGAAAAGAACAGCCAGAGAGAAAGAGAAGCGAAGTGCGTCTTACGAGAGAGGCTGTGCCGGTCAACCAGCAAGCTCCTAACCTCTATTTTGGGGGCGGCCGTGGCGGCCGGGGCCGTGGGGGACGCGGACGCGGTGGAGGCCTGGGTCTTGGTGGGCGTGGGGAGGTAGGCCATGCAGTGACTGGGCCTGTACACTGCAGCGCAACAGCACATTGGAGCTGTCAGAAGCGATTGTCCCTGCTTGGCGCACGTTTCTGCTGCCTTCGAGAATGAGTGGCAGCCGGTTGCCTCACCGTCTTCTTGACTGTATCATAGGTGCGTGTCTCTGGGTAGCAGGCCGTGCACTGCCCAGTGCTAGAAAACGCGGCATAGCTGACCGGCTCAGCGCCAATCCAAGCCAATTCCTTCGGGAACGCCTAATAGAATCGCCAAGGCTTCGGCACAGGCCTCCCCGGGACCCATTCACTACTAGTGGGGGGTACTGCACTTGGCGCGTCGGGCAGATCAAATAATGGTCTAAAGCTAGACGTTAAAACCGGGAAGTGAAGCTTGTGGAGGCTCTTCCCCACCTTTACCTTTACCTTTTTTAGAGCACTTGGAGCAGCCGTCATTGCGTGTCATGTTCTGGCAGGCTGTGCGGAACACATTCTCTCGGTAGCTATAGCACTTGCCAGTGTCCCAGTTGCACCACTTGAAGTTGCCTTGAGGGTAGTAGTGGCAGATGGTGTAGCTGCTGCCGTCTCTGCATGAGGTGGTGCCGCAGCCCATGCTCCGCGTGTCCGCCCACACCACTGCACACAAGGAAGTGGATGCCGCTGAGGTGTGCATTACGCCGGCAGCTAGACAGCAATCAGAAAGCGTATACTCAGCATGCACTTGTGTCGCGGTTCCCAGGGAGGGGCTCACCCTGGGTGAAATGCAAGACCATGATGAGGCGGGGGTTGATCTTCTCCCCCGGCTTCAGCCAGTTGTAGTTCTGACCGTAGGGAGGGGTTGGCGGACAAGCGGCAGTGGCAAACAAACAGGAGTGACGCCAGTGTTTGCACATGCGCATGGAAGCCAATGCCAGCCACTCCACGATTGGCGCCCCACTGCTCCACTCACCCTGACTTCGTTGTACCAGTATGTCTCAGCGGCGGTGCAGTCCTGGAGGCCGCTTGGGAGCGAGCCAAACCGATAATACTGCAGCACCAGCATAGCCCACCACAGCAGGTTGATGCCTTGTTCAAGTTATGGCAGGCCTGCCGGGTGACTCCAGTGGATTATGAATGGCTGGCATTGCAAGTATGCATGCAGCACGTCAAAAAGGAAAAGCAACAGCCACGGTGCATTGGCCTGCACTTGTGCTCACCGTGTTCTCGCCGTACTGCCCATCCAAGTACTTCCCCTCTGTAGATAGCGCAGGGTCGGTACACAAGCAGTAAGTAATTCGGATCAAAGTGCACTGGGCGGGCCTCAGCATGCCGCTACCAGGTGGAGCCAGCATACGCATGCAAGCAAGGCCGAAATGGGTCGGGTGCTCACGTGAGTGCTCAATGGTGCACTGCTTTGACCACAGCTTGGCCGTCGCAGCCAGCGTGGCATTCCACCTCAGCGGCCGCGAGCTGCGCGTACAGAGGGCGCAGGATCCGCAGGAAAACATAGGCAGAAGCGGAAGCAGTGGTGCTCACATGTGCAGGCAACAGCCCTTGCAGCAGCGCTGGATATATGCATGACCTTGCAACACCAGCTGCACAGCCCTGGGGGTGCCAGCTGGGCAAGCTGGGACAGATGCGGCCAGTGACATGCACCCACCCGTGCAGCGCTCGGTGTTTATTTGTGAGCTTCAGCATGGCATCGATTTCGGCTTGCGACCCAGACACCCCGCAGCACATGCTGCAGTAAAGAGCCAGGGAGCGTGTAGTCTTAGGTCTGACGATAGAGGGGTGTGGCGCAGGTAGCTGAGCATGGTCGCAGGCAGCAGCAGAATGGACAGGCAGCGAGCCCGCACCTCAGGCGTGGCCCGCAGGCGAGTGCGGCCAGCAGAAACAGCAGCGCCGTCGCATGCCCTGCCCGCAGCATGATACAGAGCCTTCTGCACACAGGTAGATGCAGGGTGCACCAGCTACCAGGCGGTAGGAGGCTGTGAGCTGCAGGCAGCACCAGCTACCAGGCAGAACCACCAGGGCGGCAGCTCAGGGGCGGGCAGGCGGAGGTGGGCGACGCCTGAATTGCGGACCCCCCACCCTCCCTTCTGGCCTCAGCTGGTGCTCAGAAAGCAGCATCAGTGACTTGCAGGCCGCGGACCTGGGGGGCAGCGTGGCTGGGCTCGAGCTCGTGTGTGTGCTTTGCCAGGCTGATCAAGAGTCTTGTACAGTCAGGGCTTCACAAATCAGCGCGGCCGGCAAGTGCTACTCCCCAGCCATGGTGAAGGAGCTGACCCCTGTTCGTTTGTGGGCTTGTGCCCGCCGCGAGTTATACGACTCGAGAGGAGCTTAAGAGCGAGCTGCACGAACGATTTGGCCCGACCGGGCAATTTGCCCGAATGCTAAGGGGGGTCCAGGTGGCGCCCGCCGGGGCGCGGCTCTGTGCTGCGCCCCCCCGGTCAGCTGAATGCAGATGCAGGTCATCTGAGCTCCTGGTACACGCTGGAGCCTTGTGGAATGGAACCATGCATTACACAGCAGCCCTCGGAGGCGCCACAGCAGTCCAGATCTGCCCGTGCTGGTCGTGGCTCCCCTGTCGCCGGCTCAGTGCTTGCCATAAACCATGTCCTTTATTCCGGAGGGCGTGGGGGCCGTCAGCCCTTCCTTGACTATGTCCCCTGCGGCCTTCCCCATCTCCTTCACATGCTGCAGAGGGGTGGGCAAGCAGCCAGGCATCGAGCGAATAGGCGTAGGCAGGGACGCCTCAAGGGGCGGAGCTGCTGACGATCAGGACTGCTGCACCGCAGCAGTTGCCGAGCACACTCTTCGGCTGGGAGGAAGTGCTGCAGGGGCGAGCCAGCCAGCCGCCTGGGGCAACCTTGGACTTCTGCTGCCGCCCTGCCCCTGTGCCCAGCTCACCGTCACTGGATCGTTGGACATGGTGTCGGTCACGTGCTGGCTCTCCCCCTCCCTCCTGCCACCCTCGGCGCCCGCGGCCGGCGCCAGCACCGCCTCTCCCGTGGGCTTGCCCTGCTGCTGCTGCTGTTCAGCCATGGTGCTTTGAGAATGCGTGCAAAGCCTCTGGACCAGTGTAGTTACCAAAGCACCTTCGCCCTGTCAGCAGGTTCCTGGGCCAAAGCGGCGCTTCTGATGTACCGCCCCAGCCTTTCCCTTTCAGGATTTGTGATGCAACAATTCTGTTTCAAATTTCAAAGTGGCGATGGTGCTCAAACACGCACGCGGCCCTCTCACACCAGCTCCTCCACCGGCACATCCCGCTCCTGCCGGCTGGCCAGGTCCTTGACCCGCACAGTCCCGTTGGCCCACTCATCCGGCGCCACCAGCACCAGCCGGGCTGCAGGCAGGCGGGGAGGCGCAGGACAGGCTTGGAGCACAGTGTGCACACCTGCACACCTGCCGTGCGCTGCGCCTCCCCGCCCCTGCCAGCCGCCTCGCCCCACTTCCACTCCACCCGCCCAGGCCCGCTTCGCGCACCTGCGCTGCACCGCTCTGCCTGCTTGAAGGCCCACTTTATGCGCTTGGGCTCCAGCACCAGGTCCACGCGCCGCCCCGCTGCCCGCAGCCGCGCCGCCAGCGCCGTCGCCTCCGCCCGCAGCCCCTCCTCCTGCGCCATCACCAAGTCGTCCACCTCGTGGCGCAGCTGCGGCAGCAGGGGAGGGGGGGAGGCGCGGCAGCAGCGGGAAGGCGCATGGCTGGAAGCGGGGAAGTGACGTGGGGCGGCTGGGCGGCAGCAGGGGTGCAGATCCTTCCGATCCTCGCTCCCAGTGCTCTGGCCGGGCTGCGCAAGCGGGGTGGCATGCGCCGCGGCCCAACACCAACAGCCTCCGCCTGCTCCGCTCCAGCGCCCCGCACCTGCGGCAGCAGCTTCCTGTCCTTGAGCAGCTCCACGATGACGGCGTCGCCAAACCCAAACCCGGCGCACGGCTGGTCCTCCCCGCCAAACGTGCCCAGCAGCCGGTCGTAGCGGCCGCCGCCGCAGATCGCGCGCAGCTGGCCGGCGCGGTCAAAGCCCTCAAACACCATGCCTGCAGGGGTCGCGCGCGGGCGGGTCGGAGGAGGGGCAGCAACAGCAGCAGCCGCCGTGGCCACAGCAGCGTGGCCGGCTGGGCGACAGAGCGAATGGGGCGGACGTCTTCCTCCGCTCGCCTGCGCGAGCAAGGCCTGCTGCCAATCATGTGCTGCCAATCACGCCTGCCTCTGTAGCCCCACAGCCCGCCGCGCACCCGTGTAGTAGGCCAGGCCGCGCACCACGCTGGCATCAAACACCAGCCAGTCGGCGTAGCCGTACGCCGCCGCCAGCTCAAAGAGGCGGCGCAGGTCGGCCACTGCCACATTGTCGCCGCCCAGCAACCCCTCCAGCTCCTCCACGCTGCTCAGCGCCAGCGCCTGCGGTGCACGAGCGGGTGGGTGGATGGGGTGGGCACGTTCGGTGTGCTGGTGGGACGGGCATGTGTTGGGTGCATCAGCAAGGAAGGCCAAGCACGCAAGCAGGCTCAAGGCAGGCAGCGGCCCCAGCTCCAGGCCTGCACCAACTGACCTGCAGGATGCCGTCTATCGCGTCGGCTGCCACGCCCAGCTTGGCCAGCTCCTCGACCACCTGCAGCACAGGCAGGAGGCCGGGATGAGGGCTGAGCCAGGCTGCTGGGCCTGGCTGGCTTTTCTGCTTGTGGGCCCTGCGCCCACTCACGAGCCTGGAGCATCCCCACCTCCAAACACCGCAGGCAGGCAGCATCTTCAGCAACCCACAGCAGCAGCACGCAGCCCAGGCCGCCTCCCTGCGCCCGCCCACCTTGTCCCGCGGAATCTTCTCCATCTTGTCCACCACCACGCACACGGGCCCAAAGGAGGCCTCCGCCACGCCATACCGCTGCAGCACCGCCTGCAGCACCTTGCGGCTGCTGACCTTGAGGCCCACGTCGGCGGCGCCCAGCCCCAGGCGCTGGAAGAAAGTCACGATGGCGGCCAGCAGCTCCGCCTCCGCCTCCACGCCTGGCACAGCCGGCGGGGCGCAGAGCGGCAGGCTGTTTGTGTCGTATGAGGCGTGAGGAGTGAGGACAGCCTCTGCATGTGTCGGGTGGCCTGCCAGCAACCTGCCCAGCCACACCACACCACACCACACCTGGCACCCCGATGACGTCCATGTTCCATTGGTAGTGCTCTCGCCGCCGCCCCCGCGTGGCCCGCTCGTACCGCCAGCACTGGCCGATGGAGAACCACTTGGCGGGCAGGGCCAGGCCCTTGCCCTTCTGCAGCGCCAGGCGCGCCAGGCTGGGGGTGAGCTCGGGGCGCAGCGTCACGCGCCGCCCGCCCTTGTCCTCAAAGTTGTACAGCTGCTCCGTGATCTCCTCCCCCGCCTTGCGCACGTACAGCTCCTCTGCGGCGCGTGTGCGCGGTGGGGAGGGCAGGGGGACAGGAGCAGGGGGGAGAGGAGCAAGTGGATGATGGTGATGAGAGACGGGAGGGCAGCTGGGGCAACAGCAGCCGGGCCAAAACGCATGCACGGCCTGTTGCCTGCGCTCCCCCGGGACGCAACACCAGGCTCTCCTGCTCCGTCCCCACAGCGCAGCGCCACCCACCCGACTCCAGCACTGGGAAGTCGATCTGCTGAAAGCCGTAGAGGCGGGAGACGGCGGCAAACTCGTCAAAGAGCCAGTTCTGCAGGCGCTTGTCTTCGGGGAAGAAGTCGCGGGTGCCGCGCGGCGGGTTCAGGTCCACCATGCCGCGCCCCGCAGCATCCCCAATCTTGCCGCTGCCTGCCTTGCGCTCCTGCGTGGCCACCGCTGCCGCTGCCCCAGCGTCACTGTCCGCCGCACTCGCGGCGGCGGCCTGCGTTCGCAACCGCTGCCGCTGCTGCGCTGCCTGCGGCGGTCGCTGCTGCGGCAATTGGCCGCCTGCTGGGGCTGCTGGGGCTGCTAACGCCGCCCGAAGGGTGGGCTGGGAGGCGGTGCTGGCAGCTCGCAGCCCACTGCCCAGGGCCGCGAGGCACCTCTGTGGGCAAACCGGTCCCACTCGAGTCTGCATCGCTCTGAACACCAGCAGCCTCACCGAGGAGGCCATGCAAATGCCACAAAAGCCAGGTGCACAAGAACAAGCTCTCCTAGCGGGACGGCGAGTCCAGAAGTAGAACCTCGCACTGAAGTGAAACAACGTGGATGTGATGCTTTTGCGTTGGGCTGGCCCATTAGCATGATTGGGTGGTGAGGTACAGATGAGCTGGCGGCAGGACACTCGGCAGCAGCCGGCGCCAGGCAGCCCTTGGGAACCCATGCCTGCACTCTACCGCCCGTCCCTGCTGGGCTGGACATCCCACAGGGCAGCTGCACCGCCCAAGCGCAGCGGCCTTGCTTCAAGCTGCCTGAACCGGCCCCACCCAACCATTCGCACGCAATCTCTATGCACGCAGAGCTGCAGGCGGCGCTGGAGCAGGTGCGACAGCAGCGGCAGGGCAGCCGAACCGCCACCGCCGCCGGCATAGCGGTGACTGGCACGGGCTTCTATGGCGAGGACCGTGCCGGCATCCGCGTACTGGCGCACCTCGGCGGCATCACCTACAGTGGCGACTTGATCCATGGCACCACCACGCATCTGGTGCTTGCGCCGGGTGGCATCGCGGCAGCAGGGGCCGGTGAGCTCACCCGCAAGGTGGCCAAGGCAGCAGAGTGGGGTATCCCCTGCCTGCGCTTCGCCTGGCTGCCAGACAGCATCCTGGCCGGCCGCCTGCAGCCGACAGAGCCCTACCTGGTGCCCTCGCAGCCACATCCCCAGCAGCAGCCGGGCGCCTGGCAAGGGCGGCAGCTGCAGGAGCAGCACGCAGCAGCGGCAAACGGCGCGGCACAGCAGCGTGCCAGCTGTTGGCAGCTGCCGCGCCACCCTCGGCCCTCCAGCGTCGCCAGCAATGCTCCGGCCGCTGCCGGCGGTACAGATACGCGGCAGCAGGCCGCTGGGTGCCACAGGAGCGAGGAGGAGCCTGTGCTGGAGCCTGCCCCACAGGAGTGCAGGCAGCACCCAGCTCCACACGCCGCTCTGGCTGCCGTGGACAACCTGCTGTCCGACCAGCTGCGGCGCATGTCCATCAGCCCAGAGCCGCCAGCCGCGGCCCAGTCGCCAGCTTCGACCGCAGCGCTGCTGCCGCTGGTGCCGCGGTGGCCGGACGACAGCCCGCCGCAGCAGCGCAGCCCCTCGCACAGCCCCCAGCGCTCGCTGTCCATGCAAGGCATGGTGGGGCCGGCGGGCCAGCCAGCGGCCACAGCGGCATGCTCCCCTGGCGACGTGACCAGTGGCGGCCAGGAGGCGGAGCCGCCAGCGGGCTTCAGCCCCATGCTGCATTCGCCACCGGACGAACAGCACCGCGGGGCGGCAGGGCAGCCGCAGGGCGAGGCATCTGCCGACCCAGCTTGCGCCGCTCAGCCCTTCTCTTTCTCCTTGGCAGGCGCGCTGGGGCGCAGCCCTTCAGATGGCGCGATGGGCGGCAGCCCTATGGCAGACTCCCCCGCAGGGGCGGGGCCAGTGCCAGAGTCGCTGTCCAGCGGTGGGGACGGCAGCGCTGCGTCCGCACCTAGCTCCAGGCTGGCTGGCACTCCGGCAGATGGCGGCAGCCAGGAGCCGGAGTGCACTCTGCCGACACCCGCATGCATCGGGGATTGGAGCGACGATGGCAGCGACTACATCGGCAGCCCAGCAGCGGCGGGTGAGCCTCAAGCATCGATTTTTTATGTTGCCAATGTTACAACAATATCACAAGCACTGCCTGCCTGCCGCAGCACGAGCCACGCCCACCAGCCTCTCACACACCCTGCTTTCTTCCCTTCTCGTACGATGTCATGCGCTTGCCAGCTGCGCCTGCTGGCATGCCTGCAGGTGGCGAGCAGGGCGAGGATGGGACCAGCCAGACGCCGCCTGCCATTCGCCGCGTGCTGGAGGGAGGGTTGAGCCCCACCCAAATTGAGCCGCGGCCCGACCAGCAGCAGCAGCAGCAGCACGCTCAGCGGCAGCGGGCAGAGGCAGGGGCAGAGGCCATGCAGCGCACGCCCGCGGCAGTGCGGGACTGGTCTGATGATGAAACGGAGGCCTCTGAGCCGCCGGCAGCCGACTTGTTCATTTCAGACTCCGAGTCAGATGGCGGCGGTGACCTGGCGCCAGCACCGGCGCCGCAACAAAGCCAGGAGCAGGCGGCTGCCCGCTCCCTGCCGCCAAAGCAGCAACCCAGGCTGCTGCTGCAGGTCAGCAGGCCGTCTGCTGCTGGCCATGCGACAACGGGCAGCAGGTCGCCGGCAGCGGTGGCAGCCACGCACAGCAGGCAAAGCGCAGGCATGGCAGCGGCAACTCCAGCAGCATCGCTAGGCGACTGTGATGAGCCCATGTCTAGCCCTGGCGGTGACTGGGAGGCTCCGCCACCGGCCACCGGCAGCGACGACGCAGTGCAGCGCGCAGCAGCTGATGGCGGCCCCTCTCTTGGGCAGCCGCCAGCCGCAGCGCCGCCTCGGCCAGGTAGCAGCAGCTTGGTGGGCGCAGTCAACGAGCGGTTTGTCACCAGCAGGCGGCCGGTAGCGGTGGCTGGAGGCGGAGACAGGCAGCAGCAGCAGAGTGTCCGTGACTGGAGCGAGGACGATGTCAGCAGCGGCGACGACGTTCCCATGCCCAAAGGTGGGTGGAGTGCTCGACCATGGGGTGTGCACAGCGAGGGCTCCCTGTACTGCAGGCCCTCTGGAACACTGCTGGGAAACTGCTTGCCCCTGAGAGCCCTGCCCACAGACCTTCCCTCCCGCCCAGTGCCCTGCAGGCCACCACCGGCGGGGCGGCGGCGGGGTGACGGGGCTCACGCAGCTGGACCCGGCATCGATAGTTGTCGCGCGCCCCAAGCCCCCTGGCAGCGTGTGGGGGTGAGCGCCACCGAGACTGAGCATGGCTGTTGAATGTGCCCGGTGGCCTGCTTGGTTGAGGCCGGTGCCATGCACCGTCCAGCCCTGCGCTTATGAGCAACATTGCGCTTGTGGTGGTGCAGGGTTGGCGCTGCAGACGGCGGCTCTGGCGGCGTGCTGGGCATCAAGTGGCTGCAGCGCCCCTCCCGCGGCAACATGGTGCGGGCGCACCACGGCCTGGCCAACCTCAAGTCGGTGCAGTTTGCAGAGCAGGTCGGCGGTCCAGGGCTACTGGGTGGGCAGGGTGGGCAGTGCACCTGGCTCGCCTCACTTGAACACAGTCTGAACATGTTTTTCTGAGGGGATCTACGTGATCTCTAGCCTTGACCTGGCAGTGCCTGTGGGCTGCCTGCAGGTGCAAGTGGCAGCCGTCGGCGGCCTGCTGCTGAGCACCAAGGATAAGAAGACGGCGGTTAGGCTGCAGGCGGGCGGGGTGAGCCCAGAGGAGGCGGAGGATGATGACTTCATGCCAACCAGCAGCAGCGGCAGCAGGCACAGCAGCGGCAGCAGGCATAGCAGCGGCGAGGCTGGCCACCACCAGCAGCAGCAGCAGCAGGCGGACGAGCCGGTGCTTGCAGAGCCGCAGGCCTTCTACCGCCTGCCCGCCGGCACCTGGTGGCTGGAGTACTGCCGCTTCTACACTGCGGCCCAGGCAGAGGCGGCGGCGGCGGCGGAAGGGCACTCCCTGGCACTGCCACCCGGATTCGATCGCGAGTGCGAGCTGCTCAAAGCGGTGGCGCGCCAGCACGCCCCCATGGCTGACATTGCCGGTGAGCGAGGCCGCAGGCGCATACGAGGCGGCAGTGGCTCAGATGAAGAGCTGCCATGCGTGTGTGTGTGTGTTTGTGTGTGTGTGTCATGGGAGAATGCAGAACGACTGACCGGTCCTGCGCCGCTCCCTGCCTGCTCGCCTACAGGCGGGGTGCAGGTGCGGCGCGTGAAGCAGGGCAGCGCCACGCTGCGCTTCCGCGGCGGCGCCGCCGGCTCCTCCCGCTCCCACTTCTGGCGCCTGGCGCTGGACACGCAGGCATGGCGCGTGCTCACAGACCGCCCCAGCGCCGACTTTGTGGCCGTCGAGTGAGCGGCTGCCTGGCGCTGCCGTGGCGCTTGTGTGCAGCCAGGCGGCAGCAGGCTGTGACTGGCAGCGGACTGCGCAGCTGGGAGGCGTGAGCTGTCGATGTGATGTGCCTGGACAAGGCAGTTTACACTGTAAAGTGGTAAGCTGTGAGGGGGGAGCAGGGACCTGAGAAGAGCAACAAAGGACAGAGGACGGAGCGAGGGAAAAGTAGGAGGGGCAACAGAGCCTCACAGGGGCCAGGTCACGACAGGGACAAGCCTACCGTGCCGCCACCGCTGCCGCCTGCGTCCGCGGTGGCGGCAGCAGATCCTCCAGGTCAGCCAGGCCGCCGCCGCTCTTGCTGCCGCACGCGCCCCCGCCTCCTCCCGCCGCGCCGCCGTGCTCCAGCACCAGCTGGCCGCAGGCGCCACTGATGTCCTGCCCCTTCTCGGCCCGGATGGTGCAGTTGACGCCGTACTGGTAGCGCAGGATGGAGTGGAAGGCGGCGGTGGCGCCTTCCTCGGGGGCCGCAAAGCTGCAGGCGGGGCGGGGGGAGGCCGGGGAAGGCTGGAGTGCAGCGAGGAGCATATGAGCGGGGCGCGGCAGGGCACACTCCTGCGGCCTGCCTCGCAGCAGGCCTCTCCGACCATTCCCGCTGGCCCGACCGCCTGCCGCCCCCGGTGCCCGCTCCTGGCGACCAGCCCGCGCGGGCGCTCACGTGATGGAGGGGCTGAGGATGGGGTTCCAGGGGATGAGGTTGACCAGCACGTTGCGGCCCTGCAGCAGGCGGCCCAGCTGGTGGGCGTGCGCCTGGGTGCAGTTGATGTCTGGTCCCAGCATCACGTACTCCACAAACACGCGCTGCCCGGTCCTCTCCAGGTACTGGTCCACGGCCGCCATCAGCCTGCGGGGGGTGGGCGACCATGGGGAAGGGGGGCAGGGGAACGAGGGCGGGTGTGCATGGAGCGCAGAGAGAAGGTGGGGTGCAGCACGTGGGATCGGAAGGTGGAGGCCACAGATCGAGGAAGGGGTGGCGGCGACCATGTGGATCAGGCATGGGGAGGCTGGGGGGGGCCAAGCTGCCGCCTGGATGCATGCGGCAGCAGGCGCTGCTGCGCTGCCCTTGCCTGTCCAGCTTGAAGGCCTTGGCGCTCGGCACGATGGTCTGGCGCAGCTCCTGGGTGGGAGCGTGCAGGGACAGCGCCAGGCTGCAGGGAGGGGGCGCCAACAGGGCGGGCGGGGAGCGGGTGTGAGCCCCGTGCCCGGCTGCTACCACAGGTGCCCACCTCTCCAGCTCCTGCGGCAAACAAGGTACTCGCTGCGCGCGCGCCTCCCAGCAGCCCACAGCAACAATACACCTGCAACCGCGCCTCCCTCGCGCACACCACACACACACACACACACACACACACACACACACACACACACACACACGTGCACAGGCACAGGCACGCGGCCGCCCTCACCTGACCCCCGGCATGTCGTCAGCCATCTGCAGCATGCGCGGGATGACTCCCACCGTGGACACAGTCACCTTCCTGCGGCGCAGCGCAAAGCTGCTGGGGTCGGTCATCAGGCGCACCGCCGTCCGCACCGCCTCGTAGTTGTTGAGCGGCTCGCCCATGCCCTGCGCAGGGCGAGGCGGCGGCGGGCCGTGTGTGTGAACTGGGCGGGAGGGGCACAGCAGCGGGAGGGAGAACACAGCAGGGCACGGAGGGGGCCAGTCGAGCCATGGCCAGTCGAGCGGGCAGGTGGGGTTGTCCACCAGCCCCTGCCCTGACCCCGACAGGCCTCCGCTCCGCACCACCCACCAGCCCTCCCAGCCGCCCCACCCCACCATGAAGACGATGTTCTGGATGCGGCTGACGCTGCTGGCGTGCACCAGCTGCTCCACAATCTCCCCCGCAGTCAGGTCGGCAGACAGGCCCATGGTGCCTGCGCCAGGGCAGGGCAGGGCAAGAGGCCGCGCCTCAGCAGCCACGCGCCTGCCTGCAGCGCTGTGCCGGCTGCAGCTGCAGGCACGGGGGATGATGCGCCACGCGAGCTGCCCGGCCGCGGCAGCGCACCTGTTGCGCAGAAGGTGCAGCCCATGGCGCAGCCGACCTCCGAGGAGACGCACAGCGTGGTGCGCTTGCCGCCCTCCATCCTGCCGCCAAACGCGTCCCGCAGGCTGGGCAGCGCGTCGAAGAACTCATCCTCCCCCTCGTCAGAATCATCCTGGGAGGTGGCAGCTGCTGCCGCTTGGGCCGCGCCGGCGCCCGCTGCCCCGTCCTGCGCTTGCTGTCCGGTGTCCCCCTGCCGCTGCTCGCCGCCCTGCTGCGCCACCGACTGGTGTTCGTCCCCGCCAGAGTAGCGCGCTGCAGGCGGTTTGGGAGGCGGGCAGGCTAGGTCATGTGCCTGACCAGAGGGTCATTGCAGCAGAGGCATGCTAGCTCAGCCAACCTCCTGCGCCGACCTCCTGCGCCGCTCGGGCTGCTGCGCTGGCCCTGCCACCGCTGCCGCCACGCCGCCACCCACCCATCCACCCACCCACCCGTGTTGTCGTACTGCATCACCACCGCCTCAACCTGCAGCCCGTCCTGCAGCTGCACCAGCAGCTTGGTCGTCTCGCCGTCGCTGCTGCGCTGCACGGTGAGCAGGCGGGTGGTGTGCAGCACAAAGCCGGCATCCAGCGCCGCACGCGCCGCCTTTGGGAAGTCCGGCAGATCAGCCCAGCCGCCGCCCGGGTTCCTAATCATGTGGCTGCAGCAGCGCAGGAGGTGCGGGAAAGTCAGCCCCACCCGGGGGTTGGGAAGGCGGCGGCGGGCACCGGCGGCGGGCAGCGGCGGCGGGTGGCATGTGCTGCCGGCGCTGCAACCAGGCGACGCCAACTGACTTGTACAAGCGAGGAATGTGCTTGGGGTTGGCCCCAATGGCCTCGAAGGCCAGCCGCACGGCATCCACATCCCACACACTCTGTGGGCTCAGCTGCCGCTTCTTCACCATGCTGCAAGGGCCGCGCACTACCGCCTAGCACCGCTTATCAGGGCGCAGGGCTACCTACACCAGTGGCGGCTACGCTGACAGAGGCCGGCGCAGGCAAATTGCAGGCTAGTCCAATGCAGGATGCGCCAGTGAGTGAGAGGGTGGCGATAAGGCCGCACTGCATGCATTGGCTCAGCTGGCATTCAGCGGCTGGGCGGCGCCAGCGCCTCGCCCATCCGCGTTCGAGGTGCCTTTTCCCACTGGGTTCAATGATCGTAAAGTTTGGTGGGTAGCGACAGTAACAGGCATGCCAAGCTTTCACTCCGCCTTGCAACGGCTGGCAACGGCGGGCGATGGCAGGCCAAAGCGGCAGGCCACCCGCCAGTCCGGCTTGGACACTCGTCCCATCTGGCTGGCCGGAGGGATGTTCTCTGGTCATCCATGAGTTGCTGCGCTGGGAGTGACTTGTATATTGCAGGGAGGCGAAGGTCCGGGCCGCCCCGGCACCGCCGCCGCCGCCGCGGGCGCCCATCTGTCTTTCCTCGCGGGCTGCCAAATCCGCCTGTTCCGCAGGCAGGACGCTTCGATTACAGGCTGTGCAAGCCTGTTTGCTCCCGCAGCAGAGCAGAAAACGAACCGCGTTGAAGGATCAGCGGAAGCTGCACACGCGCCAGTGCACTCGACCTGCTGACACCCTGGCCCCCCCAACACGCCCATGACGACTCCCCAGGGAGGCTGGGGCACACCGCCCACGGCCCCCCCGCAACCTCCCTCAGGTGGCTGGGCTCGGGGTTGCTGCGCCTGCCTGCCCTCCCACGCGTTCTCTGATCACCCTTGGTTCGTGGGCTGAGCGCAGGGGAGGCTTCAAGCTCGGGAGGGTCGTCGCCCTACAGCAGCGCCGGCCACGCCGCCAAGTGCCCGCCAGCCCTGTACGCCGACCTGCTGCGCAGCGCCAACGGCGACCAGCAGCTGGTGGCGCTGCGGCTGGCGGAGATGGGTTTTGAGCCGGGCAGGCCCGACGAGGCGCAGCAGCAGCAGCAGCAGTCGATCAAGGCGGTGGGCGGCGGCGGCGCCGGGCTGGCCGGCTGGGGCAGCCTGGCCGCCACCCTGGGATCCAAAGACGCGCTGAAGAGCAAGCCGCCGCCGCCGCCGCCGCGCGGCGAGCGCGACCTGGACAGCCAGGCGGCGGAGGCGGGCGCGCCCAGCCACTTCTTCTGCCCCATCTCGCTGCAAATCATGCGCGACCCCGTGGTGGTGGCGGCCACCGGCCAGACGTAAGCCAGGCTGCCGCGTGTGGGGCGTGTGGGGCGTGCATGTGTGTGCGCGCGCATGTGGGCCCTCTGGGACCTGAGACCACGCAGCTGGGTGCAGCCCTGTGGTCCGTCGTGCAGCAGGTGCTGACGCGCCCCGGTGCCCACCCGCCCGCCCTCCCCGCAGGTACGACCGCCCCTGCATCGAGCGCTGGCTGGCGCAGGGCAACAGCAGCTGCCCCGCCACGGGCCAGGCGCTGCGGCCACCGGCGGCGCTCGTGCCAAACGTGGCGCTGCGCGCGTCGATTGAGGAGTGGGCGGAGAAGCACGCGCCATGGCTGCTGGTGCGCGGCCAGCGGGGCCGGCCGCTGTGAACAGGCGGCCGCAGGCGGGCGCGGCTGGGACAGCCACGCGCGGTGTGCTGCCTGCCTGGTGGCGCGCCGTGTGCTGCCTGCCTGCTGGCCTCTGTCACAGCATGCGCGGCGCCGTGCGCGCCTTCTGGTGGCCGTGTCGCCGGCTGCCTGCCTGCCTGCGCCAGCCAGCCACCCTGCCGACAGCATCCCGGCCCGTGTGCTGCGCCGCCCGCCTGGCGCAGGACCTCAACCGCCGGGTGAAGCCCATCCCCAAGGACGAGCAGTTTGCGGCGCTGCCGCCGCCAGACGCCGCACAGGGCCACGACCCAGACCTGGCCTACGCCATCCGGCTGCAGCAGGAGGAGCTGGCTCGGCTGGCCTCACGGCGAGGCGCGGCGCCGCCGCCCGGCGCCGCCGCCGCCGCCGGCGGCATGGCGGCGTTCGGCGTGGAGGCCGGCGCCGCCGCCCCGCAGGCCGCCTCCGCGCGCGGCAGCCCCAGCCGCGGCGGCGGCGGCGGCGGCGGCGGCGGCGGCGGTTCGCGGCGCCTGGGGCGTGGCGCGCCGCGCGGCCGCGCCGCCTGCCTCTCCCCCGCCACCGCGGCGCTGTTTGCTGCCACCGCCGCCTACATCGCGCTGTACGTGGTCAGCCTAGCGCTCAACGGCTGGAACATAGAGGACCTGGCGGTGAACCCGTGGGCGGGGTCCAGCCTGGCGGCGCTGATGGATGTGGGGGCGCAGGAAGCGGCGGCGGTGGCCACCGGCGGCCAGTGGTGGCGCCTCTTCACCTCCCCCTTTGTCAACGCCGGCGTCATCCAGCTGCTGCTCAACATGTCGTGCCTGTGGACGTTTGGGAGGTACCTGGAGGGGGCGATGCGCCCCCACGCAGCCCCCTGCATAGCGGCCACCTACCTGGTGGGAGGGTGGGCGGGCGCCCTGGCCTCCGCCAACCTCAACCACTACTATATCACCTGCGGCGCCTCGGCGGGCGTCTGCGCGCTGCTGGGTGAGCGAGGCGGGGCCGGGGAGGGGGCTGCGTGTCTGCAGCTTGCTTGCTGAGGGTGGGGGAGGGTGGGGGAGGGTGGGGGAGGGCGCGGCGCGCCCCCGAACGCGTGCACGCATGTTTACGGTGCCGTCCTGCACGGCATGCCGCGGGGCGTGGCCGCGGCGTGGCGCCGGCCGAGCGCCGAGCGCGTTCCTTCGCCGACTGCTCCTCTGCTCCCCTGCCCTCCCACCCCCCGCTGCTGCAGGCGCTGTGTGGGGTGACCAGCTTGTGAATGGGCGCAAGTATGTGAGGCGGGTGTGGACGGTGGCGGTGCTGGCCCTCATCACCGCCATCTTCATCACCATGAGCCTGCTGCCGCTGCTGGACCCCTGGTACCAGGCAGCCGCGCTGGTCGCAGGTGCGGGAGCCGGCGCAGGGGCTGCGTGCGTTTGGGTGTGCACAAA